GGTTGTCACAATTACTTTTTTTTTTTAGTAATTGGTTTTCCTTACAATTACTTGTTTATCTTTGTTAACCGTACGTGCGCATGTATGTTTTTTTTTTTGAGTTTCATAATCAGTATAGTCTAACGTTGATGTCACGTTATTTGACTAACAAAACGAAACCTCACAATGAAAATACATGAAAATTTTATGAAGTAACTAACTATTTATAAGGTGAACTAATGTTTAATTAATGGTTTATTTATTGCACCATTATACCATAATATTGCAACGATATATAAATATTTTTTTGGTTTTTTTGCTAAAACGATCGATATATAAATCTAGATAGAAAAATAAATAACTGACGCGTAATTTGAAATTATAAAAATCGAATTAAGAGTATTTGGAGAAATTGAGTTAGCGTGTGGTTTGCGTGTGTGTGTGAATGCCTCCGTGGCATGTCATTATCATTAAAGAAAATAAAAAAAAAACTTTATCTAAATTATGTATGTTATTAAATAATAATCCTGTATTAACTAAGAAAATTACGTTTTTAAAGAAAACGTTAAACAGATCATGTGGGTGTTTATGATTCCACGTTTGCTCTTGGGGAAGAAACAAATGTTTAAATTTGGTTTGCATCCCACCAAGAAACATTAAACATATCAAATTAAGATTAATTTAATACTTGCTTCATTAGACAAAACACGTAATTAATTATAATCTTAGCATTAAACCAAAATTATTGGTCTTTTTTCTGCCAACAAATTATTGGTGTTTAGCCTTTACACATGGTAGAGTAGCACTGGTCAAAGATTACTTTTGTTGTTATCTCTATGGATTCGATTCAAAGTTTATGCTAGTTCTTATCTCATTTAACCCAATCAAAATTTCTGTTTATTTAATTTAATCATTACAACCATACGACTAGTTATTTTATCAAAAAAAAAAAACTATACGACTAGTTTTTCTCAAAAAAAAAAACCTATACGACTAGTTAACATCCGCATGCAATTCAATGCTTTTATTCTATTTTACAGTTTTTTTTTTGTTATTTTGACAAACTTCCCTTATTATACCCAAGTTATATTTTTGATGTTCTACATCATAACGAAGAATAAAAATTCAAATATTATTAAAACATGATTTGGATAACAAATTGCAATACATAGTCAATGTATATACTTATTCATTTGGTGCAATTTGTGCAAGCCCACGATGATAAAGAGTATGTAAAATAAATTATGTAAAATAACATTATTTCATTTAAAGTTGTTCTTATCTCTTGTATATTTGAGGGAAGAAAGAAATCTCTTCTATATTTTTAGTTTCTATTCTTGTACACACAACCTACTTTCATCATCTATGAATGATAATTGTTATCTATATACGGAAAGTAGGGAAAATTCAATTAATTTAACAAAATTGGAAATATTCATGAACCGATTAAAGCAGCGTTACATTTTAAAGAATAGATTTGTGTTTGACTGTTTTATCGATTTTAATTCCATACTAAAATTGAAAATAAATAATTCAGAAGGAATGAACCAATCTCATGATACTGTCCTACATATATATAAACTTCTTCTTGGACACAAATACAGAAGCATGTGAGTTTACAATAAGTTCACTTTAAAAATTTGTTTCTAGAATTATCAAGTTTTTCTGGGGAAAAAATAGAAATTTTCACACTAAAAAGAAGGATACAAATTATTATTAGGGTAGTGTATGTCTGTATGATGTTTGCGTCATCAGCCGCATCTGGGCTTACGTGGATATGGTTAGGACAAAAGTGAAACTAACCAATCAGATATAATCTCAGAGGACACAGCTGTCTCGTTTGGGTCCACTTCTCTAACAAAACTTGTTCAATTATTCACACTCAAATACAATGACACAAATAAAATAATTCTCTAATTTTTAAAATATTTGAAAACGGAACATTTGCGTTCATACTTAGAACATTGTGGACGATTTCTCATAAATAATAAATAAATATATGTATATTCAAATTTTTCGGTTTCAATCCGGCCGTAAAATGCATTTTTCAACACAAACTCAATTTGAGTTTTTTGACGATTGCAATGAACAAGTTGGATTTCAGATTAAAAATAAAGTCCAAGTAGTAAGAAATTCTTGATTACTAAAGGAGTATCAATCTTTGTTGTAAACAATAAATAAGCCTTTACATAAAAGGCCTAATTATTTTTAACAAAGAAACAAAAAGTACAGTTAGAAATATATGATACATTAAATATGAGGAAAATATATAGACTACGTGCACAAACGACCAAAATATTAGTAACGATATAAATTTTTTTTTTTTGTGAAACAACGATATAAATTATTCAAGTTTCTGTTCATAAAACATGGTTGAGTTTGATGACGACATATGTTAGTTTTTCGCCATAAAGCTCTAATAACTAAAAGAGAAAAAAGAAGCTTAATTTATTTAGTTAAAAAATAATCCCAACTGATTTTACTTCTTTTTATCGACCATTTTAATATTATTTATTGATTTTTCTCTGCTCTACCTTAGAGAAAATATTTTTTTTTTTTTGGCGTTAGAGAAAATATTA